CAACTCAGGGACCTGGGCAATATGGCCACCAAAAGGACCCAAGTTCTCCAAGGACAAGTTGTTGGCGGATATGGGATATGGGACTGTCCAGGAGAGGGGGTGTTATTTGACATTTCCACTCTCCTGGAGTACTCATAGGTTATAGCCTTGACATTAGCAGGAGGGGAAGAGGAGTCTTGAGGGGCGGGATGGGGGTCAGGCCATGGGGAGGAGCTTATTGGATGCTCCCATTTTCTGAGGGGGCGGGGCTTGGAGATTTGGGCATTCTAATTAGGGTGGGTGGGACACCTAATATCACTGTTCAGAAGGCGTGCTGCTTGAGACTTTTGAACTGAGCACGCAGAGGGAATGTCCACTGTTCATGGTACTGCACATGCTCTATTCTGCTTTCAACTGGATCAGGGCTTGGGGTTTTAGTGTCTGTTGGGTTGCGCTTACCTGAGAAGTTAGTGAAGCAGAAATGACAAGGTTACAAGAAATAGGAGTGATGACCTTGGCCCTCTGGGGTCCTCCATCCCTTCATCTTCCCCCTGTGCAGCCTCTGATGGCTTCTAAGGCAGAAGGCAAAAAAGTTGGTAGTATACAGGGCTGCCCTGCTCCTGGTTGGGTTTAGTTTGGCTTACAGAGTGTTGATTTAAAAAAAGGTTCTTTTAATCAGTTCTTGTGAGGATGGCCCTAGGCCTGAGCCTAAGCAACTCCATTTTAAAAACTCCAGTTTGAAACCTGCAGTCTCCCCAGGCACACCCACAGAGCCCTCCAGTGTGACAAGTCACTTCCCCCCACCCTGATAAACAGTGAAGCCCCTGGCAGGCGGTCCTCCCCTGATAAGAGGGAAAGGCCAGAAGATCAGGGTGGAGACCACTAGACCAGATGTTTCTGACCCCAGGGTAAATGACGTCATGGAGAAATCTGGTGGTAGCTGATGAGGATTGAAAGGGGGTTCAAAAGCCCCCAGATTTAGTATAAGTAATAGAGCTGATGAACAGGGATTCAGCCAGCAGAAACAAGGAGCTGGAGCTGGAGAGCCTGATGAGGACCTGGCATCCCATCACTGTCATCGTTGCCCGATCCTCTGTGTGATCCTCACCGCCCTCAAACTCTACCGCCTCGTCTGGACCCTGGTGAGAGCCGCAACTGCTCCCTACGGCCCTCTCCTCAACCAGTCGTCCACTCCACCCAGGAGAAGCCTGCCTTGGTCCGGACCTGGTCACCGCGGTCTGAGTGAGTGTGCATCTGCTGGACAGAAAGCCTGAGGCTTGAGACTCTTGAGCTGAGCACGCAGAGGGAAGGTCTGTCACTAGCCTGGCATGATTCAGTGTGTCTGCTGTGCTTAGAGTTAATTGAGAATTGATTGCCGTGAACTGATCATGTCTATGGCAGTACCCAGCATTAAGGATTGTCATTTTCTTGATTAAGAACCTATAGAGTGAAATGGTATTGAGTGATTTGAGTGAATAAAGGGCAGAAATGTGTGGACATTCTTTATTTCTCCCCTCAACTGCATACGTCACAATTTTGCCCCCTCGCACCAGTTGTCAATATTTAAAAAAATCAGAACATTTCATTTAAAAAATAAGAATATCCATCTCCTCTGGATGAAATCAGAAGTTCTCACGCTTTGGCCTGCTTTTGGGTCTGGTTGCCATCTTTTGAAGGTCCCCTTAAGGGGGCCCCAGGCCGCCTTCCTTCCTGTCAATACCCTTCCTATCAAAGGGCCAAGGCACTTTATCATCCTGCAAGAGCTGTTGTAATCTTATGAGGGAGGGAGATAATCTCTTTCTACCAAAATTAGGTCAATAAGAATGAGACTGACTCAGGGAAATTCATTACTGTGAAGGTGAACAGTATTCATATGTGCTTCACGTGAAAAGTGTGTCATATTGAGAGAACACAACCTAAGATGCTCCCGTAAAGCAAATCCAACATTCCTCACTCACTTACTGTACCTTTCTGATCCCCGATGGTCAGTGATTCTCAGATGTTTTGGTATCAGGATCTTTGAACTCTTCTAAAAAAAAGTTTTAAAATCTCAGAGAGATTTTGTTTTTAAGTTTTTGTATGTTAAAGCTGTAGTTGCTTAATGTAATAGAAGTTGTAATTGATGGATTTTGGAGCGCGAGATATACAAGCACACAAGCCGTCAGCTATCTGCAATGATGTCATCGTGTCACAGAACCTTGCAAACAAGACACTGTACACTTTGGAGAGTGAAAAATGGCAAATAATGTCTTAGTAGTTTCCACTTCATGGAGCCCTAGAAGGAGTCCCTGAATCTTACTATGAGAAGTTTTATTAGGCAATAGAGTTCATGACCCCTGTTTTAGGAAGACTCCAAAGAGCTGGGTACAGTGGTGCTCATGGATAACCCCAGATACTAAGGAGGCTGAGACGGAGGTTCCCAAATTCAAAGACAGCCTAGGCAACCTACAGAGACCCTGTCTCAAAATAAAAATAAAATAATAAAATAAAAATAAATGGGGCTGGAGATGGAGCTTAGTGTAGAGGGCTCCAGAGTTTTCAATTGATGCACACCAAGATTCTGAGGAGAGGCAACTTTGTTTAACTTTTCATTTCTTGCTGTTGCAACATAAATTCCAGGTCTTTTGAAGTGGGGAAAGAAGGGAGAGAACAGAAAGCAAATTTACTTCACCAACTTTCTGGCAAGCTCCCATAACACACCAATCTAACATTGGCCCTTGCAATGCACGGGCTGCGAGAAAGGACAGCAGACACTCCAGTTTGAAAAATACAAGAACCAGGCATTTTATTCCAAGACGATGGTTGGAGGGCAACAGGAATAAATAAGGGAGGGAGGGAGGCCCAGGGGCTCAGGACAGGAAGACTCTAGGTCTTGCAGCAAATTCCACACCCGGAATTTGTACAGCATTTGCAGCAGAAAATGCAGATGGGAATGTGGGTGTCTCGCCTCCTTAGCCTCTGGCTCACCGGCTGTGGGAAGGAAGGGAGAGTGAGCGGACTCAGCATGGCCTGGGCAGGCGAGGGGACAGGGTAGGGAGAGGGTAGGGAGTTCAACCACTCTTACCGTCAAGTGGGCTTCGGTCACAGCTGTGTACTGGGGGTGGCGCTCTGCGGGCTGCCTCGTGAGTTGCCCTGTCTGTGAAAGAGAAGGGGGCATTGAGGATGGCAGAGTCCAACAGAGATCTTGGACTTGCTCCCACCAACCTGTTCCTCCCCAGGTGCCTGGTGACCTCATCATCCAGCTGGCTCGGAGGAGGGAATCTTGCCTTTCTGCTTTCCTCCCTGCCTTCCTAAAAGCATCCCAGATATGTCACCTTTACTCTCTGCGGTCAATTCTCTTCTTCGGGGTTGTCACCCTCCCTTGGCTGGATGCCAGCATCAGCCAGGTCTTCCTGCCCCGGTCCCCTTACCATCCAGTGACTTTCACTCAGACTCTTACCATCAGAATGTGGCTTTCTTCATTGAAAAAGCCTACAGCCCTTCCCCAGCACTCAGAGGAAAAGTCAGTGTCCGAGCAGCTGCCCACGAGGCTGGCCCGATCTGTGACCTGCCCACCCGACCTTGTCTCCTGGCACCATCTCCTCCCATCCTCAGGAGCTCCACGCTCCTGCTCACCTGCTACCATCCAAAGCACAGGCCAACTGGACTTTTCTCAAAGAACACTCTTGCTTGACTATGGGCCCCTGCTTCCACCTCTCGTCCCCCTGCCCTGTGGTCACACTACCACTGTCCTTTACATCATTTGTGAACAGTATTTATTAAACAGAATTATTTATTTGTTTTAATTGCTCATTAACTAATGACCTGACCAAGACATAAACTCCATAAGAGCACAGATGTTATCTCTGCCTTGTGCATTGCTTATCCCCATTGTATACAATAAGATTTGATAGAGGAGGCCCTCAATGATACTTGTGTCATTACATCAGGGTCCCCTGAACTTGCCACTCCATCCTTGCTCTTTCAGCAACTGCCAGTCCCTCTGAGTTGTCCTGAGCTTTGCTCAGTGCTAGGGGTCCTCCGGCTGCCTTCAGCAGCCCCTTCCCAGGGGCTGACCCTCCATCCCCGTCCTGGCCCCAGGGCTCTTACCTGTTGCTGGAGGCTGGAGGCAGTGGCCAGGCTGGCGAGGAGGAGGAGCAGGAGGCAGGCAGCCCGGATCTGGGTGTTCAGTGCCATTGTGCTGTCTGTCTGTCTGACCTGCTCTTGGGTCCAGGACTTGCCGTGGTGACTGGGGTGCAGTTACAGTGGCTTTTATGGGGCCTGCTGGAGGAGGTGGTCCGAGCCCCCACCCCTTTGCCCTAACTCATTTCCAAGAAGGTGGTGGCGCCTAAAAGGCGGGAGAGATAAGCGGGAACAGAGTGACAGGGAACAGGGTTGTGTCACCCTCAGCCAGCAGAGGTGTGTTCAGGGGGCGGGGCAGACGGGGCCACAGACACAGGCGTCTAGCCAGTCACCCGGAGTACCTTTTTCCCCAATATAACGTCACCCTGTTGATCTCAGGGAAAGAAAGAAAAATTCCACTTTTTGTCCTGGAAGTTGAGCTGGTTTGTGAGTAGAAACCTCGACCTTGTCTCCCAGGACCATCTTCTGGTGTCAGATTCTCAGGTGGTCCTCTCCAGACTTGTGAAAGGAAGGGGTGCCCCTGGCTCCTGTCCCCGCCCCTCCCTGGCATCCTCATTCACACCTCTCTATTGCTCATGGGCCCCTCAGAAGGGCCCGGCATGGTTTGCGGGGAGAGCGTCCCGTTCCTTAGTGTTCTCTTCACACAGGCTCTGGGGGGGACACCAGAGAGCCAGGTGCCTGGGGAACTCGGCCCACAGGAGTCCCCAACACACTCTGTGCTGCTTCCCAAGTGTCAGAACCTTGAGACGTGGGCCTAGTCGCTGGAAAATGACTGAGTGAACTTTTGAGCATGAAAGATGGCAGTCGTGGCAACAGCTGGCATCTGCTGGCTACATCTTCTATGCCAGCATTTGTATCAACTCACTTGTGTCAGCCAGTGCCACCTAGGTAGCCCCCGATTTCCCCAACCTGGGCTCTGCTCCGTATCTGGGGGCCTTGGTTGCCTTCTCCACACTGACCCCAGGTCCTGGCATCTCTGACTCCAGGGCCCAAACCTGGCAGGGCACAGTAGCACTAGACCTGGCTCAACAGGGGCAGCCGGCGCCCTCCCATCCCAACACTGTATTTCACGGTGTCACACCTGCACCTTGAAATCAGCAAGGTTTTGTTTTGAATTGCTTTTGACCTTGTTCCCAGGCTGCTCCTAGGAGGGGAATGACCAGGGCTGTGTGGTGCCTTCATTCCCACCTAGCCACCTCACGATGCATGTGGCTCAGGAGACCCACCGACCTCAACTCTGGAGACAGGCTGTTGGCCATTTTGACTCATGCCATCGCAATCCACTGGAGACTTGGGAATGATGTTGTCAAGGAGTGACACTTCTGGCCAGGCTGTCAGGACCCATTTGAAACCACAAAAATGGACGGCTGCTGGGGGAGTAAGGGCTGCTCCTGCCACAGCCCCTCCATCACTCTGCTAGGTAGCTCCTCCTGCCACCCACTCTCAAGGACGACTTCAAAGGGGGATGATCAGGAAAAGGGCTCTCAGAGGGGAGAGGCCAGTTGGAGGCACTTGGGAAGCTCAGCATGGTGACCTGCAGCACGCCTGGATTTAGGGAGGGCATGAACAGGGGCCACAGGAGGCCATGAACGATGGGAAGCTCACCCGAGACAGCAGCGTCCCCAGCCCTAGCAGCATGGCTGCGTCACAGCTCAGGCCAGGTTTCATCACCAGCCAGGGCCAGGGGTCACAGCACAGGCGCCAGAGCCACGGTGCGAGGCGACAGGCTGACGGGCCAAGCCTGGCTTCCTGGCCATCTGCCCTCCCTGGGGGTGGGGGGCTCAAGGCCAGGCCCCATCATTGGCTGGTGCGGAGGGGAGGGCTTCGCAAGGACAAGGCTGGGAGCCAGGCCCAATGACAGGAATTGCTGACACAAGGGACCCCAGCCTCTTCAACATGCAGCATGTCCTTGACCCCAGCTCCCCTGACCCCACATCCATGTCCCCTGGGTCTCCAACACACAGACTGGGTACCCATTGGTATGGAATGGCAAGGACTGGCACACAGCCATGACCACAGCAGCTGAGGCCCTGGCCTCAGGGAGCTCTGTACAGACGCCAGTCCTCCCCACACCTGAAACGCAGAGACACAGACAGACAAGGCGGGGGCCACGTGGGCCAGTTTATTGCAGTTAAATACCTCTCTCTCTCTATTTTTTTTTTTGTCCATTTTTCCATAAAGAAAATTACACACACACACACACACAAACACACACACACGCACACACACGCGCTCACACACACATACACACACCCAGAGGGAGCAGGGATCCAGAAACAAGAGGTGGGGTGGGACATGGCCTCCCTGCTTAGGTCCAGGTCCCAGGGATGGCCCCCCCAAAGCTCCCTCCTTCCCATAAGCACCCTGTCTCAGCACCTCTAGAAACCAAGGAAGCAGCGGGAAGCGGCAGGGCCTCTGTCCTCCCTTTAGCCTCCAGGTGAGACCACTAGAAGTGCCAGGCATGGTGAGGGCCAGGGGAAGGGAGACCGATCGACAGACAGACGGGGAGGGGTATCGTTCCAAGTTGAGGAGGGCGGTGGGCAATGTATCCACAGAAATGCATTATTTCTCCCCGTTTTTGTTAAAAATCTACTATAAAAAACGCAGCTGGGGGAGGGGCGTCTGTCCCTCTCTGTGCTAAGGGCTGGGGGAGGGGGCAGCAGAGGCCAGCGGCTGCACACTGGGGGCGGGCGTCACGTCACTGCCGGGTGCTCTCGCCCACCATCTCCAGGTTGTGCTGCTGCAGCTGGGCTCGAAGCAGGGCGTTCTCATTCTTCAACTCCTCGATCTGCAGACAGGGGACAAGGGAGTGAGCTGGGGCTGGCTCCTGAGGCCCCTGTCTGGCCCCAGCCTGGCTCTCACCTGTTGCCGCAGGAGCTCATTGTCCATCTGCAGCCGCTCGGCCTCCTTGAAGGTCTCCTGCATGCGCTGGTTGGTCTGGCGTAGCTCCCGGATGTAATCGCAGGCCTTCGACAGGATCCCCCCTTTACTCTGGGGCAGCGGGTGGGCAAGAGCATCAGAGGGAGCACTGCCCACCATCCCATCCCAGGACAATTCTGTGCCCACTGCCAGCCAGACTTCCTGGAAGAGGCCTGGGAAACTGGGCCACCAAGGGCGGCGGGCACTCACCGCTCCTGTCTTGCTGTTGTCTGCATTACAGTCTGGAATGATTTTTGAAAGTTGGACGATCCAGTTGTTGATCTTGTCCCTCCGCCTCCGCTCCACTGAAGGAAAAACAGCAACAGTCCCGGCTACAAGGACAGCACTTCCGGTGTGCCTGGCAGCACAGACTGTCGGTGCTGAGCACACCAAGGGACAGCGAGGGCCCTGCCTAAGCCTATAGCCATGAAGTGCAGAGAACCCTGACAGGCCTCCCCCAAGCTGGCTTTGCTGCTTCATAAGGAGGAAGGATCAAATCCTGACCCCCACGTGCCTCACACCTCGGGCACACCTCACACCCTGGCAGAAACCAGAAGCCAGGGAAGGTGGCCATTTTGTTGGCCTGCCCAGCGTACTGACAGAATCTGAGTCAACATTTAAAAATTTCACTCATGATGGGCATCTTGGGCTTCTTTTAAAAGATGGCATCTGGGCACAGTGGGCTCATGTTCTTGGGAGGCAAAATTGACACAGGATCCTATAACACTCCTGTGCCCACAACCCCTACGTTTGATTCTCTACATCGTTTCAGAAACTCTGGGTCCCATGATCTTGTTTTCCCACTTTTTTTTTTTTTCTTGGTACCAAGGATTGAACCCAGGGACACTTCTTAACCACTGAGCTACATCCCCAGCCCCATTTTATATTTTATTTAGAGACAAGGTCTTGCTGAGTTCCTTAGGGCCTCACTAAGTTGCGGAGCTGGCTTTGAACTCGAAACCCTCCTGCCTCAGCCTCCCAAGCCACTGGGATTACAGGTGTGCGCCACCACCATCTGGCTTTCCCTCTCATCTTTAAAAATCAAAGTCTAATCTCATCTTGCCCCTATTTAAAGTCTTTCTCCAGAGTCCTGGCAACATCTTCCAGCTCCCCAGACTGGCACCCATGGCTCTCAAGGGCTCCCCAAGGTCATTTGTTCTTGGGGAGCACGATGGAACATGAGCAGGAACCCTATACCCTGAAGGCCAAATGGTGAACTAATAGAGAACTTCACCTGGAAAGTCTGGGTTTGAGATTTTATTCTATAATCTCTACAGTGTCACTCCGAAGCAGCTGAGCTGGGTGGCAGTCACCCCTGCAGGCAGGCTGTGTGCTCTTCCTTTGGCCAAACGCAGCCCCTAACCTGCTCTCCCCAGGAGCCGGGTGCACTGGACCCAGATCCTCTCAGGCTCCCAGAGGCCAGACTGCCTCAAGCCTTCATTAGCAGCCCATTCAGGACCACACCCCCTGGGGACACAGAAGCCCCAGGCACTCCCAGCTGCCCTCACCCCAGCCCCACCCTCTGGCCAGGAAGGCTCAAGAAGTCTGTGGAGTCTGTGGAGTGGGGAGCTTAAAAAGTGGGTAAGGGGACACTTTCTAAGGGTCGGAGAGTGGTGACGGGAAACTGGCAGGGGGAGAAGGGAGGCGAGAGTGAGGGCACCCTCTTCACTCCCCCGGAGTTCAGCACCTCCACCCAGCCCTGCCACCCCTCGAGGGCTGCTCATGGCCCGTGAGCGCAGAGCCACTGTCTTCTCTGGGTTCGTCCACTCCTGCTGACCAGCCTTTCCTGCCTCCAAAAGCCTCCTGCATTGGCCTGGGTGACATCACCCTCCAAGGACGACTCTTCTCCCCTCCGGTCTCTCCTCCCAGCCCTACTTCTCCTCGCTGTCCTCTCTTCCTCTGGAAGCTGCCCAACACCATGCTGAGAACGATGCCCGGTGCCCGGGGCTGCACTTGCTGCAGGGCCGAGCTCACTCTCTCACTCTGCGCTGGGCTCTGGTGCAGCTTCGCTTCCCATCACGGTCATGGTGAGTAGGGTCTGCCACGGAGGGTGGCCGCACCTATGGGGACTCTGTGGCCAAAAGGAGCAGCAAAGCGGAGTCCACCCCAGGCCTGGCAGCACCACCACCACATCCCTCCACAATGTGCTCTTCCCAAAGCTCTCAACAGCAGCTGCCTCTCAGCTTCCTCTCCCTCCACCTCAGCCTTCCGAGCCAGCCCGGGCGCAGACTCATCTCCCGGCACTGTCATTCCAGGCCAGCAGGGCAGGGATAGGGGCGGGGTAGCCTCTGTAGTTTACATTTACTTCTGAAAAAACCTGCTGCCTTCATGGTGGCCTGCGGGACCCTCCACAAGGCTGGGATCTAGGGTGGAATCAACTCCTGGTCCTGTCTTGCTGACACTCAGCACCGCTGCGGGGCCACAGTGACCCCACAGCTGATGACTACCCAGTGCCCGGGAAGGGCAGGTGGGGCAGAATTTTCTGCCTGGGATTGAGGCTGGGATGAATCTTCAGAGGAGACTTGAGAACATCTGAGCTGGCTCCCGTGAGGAGGGGCATCAGGTGATAGGTGGCAAGGGCCCAGAAATGGTGACATGAAAACACAATGTGGGTGGGTAGGGGGAGCGAGAAGAGGTGCCACAGGTGGTCAAGTCTTGCGTGCTCTGCTGGTGGGGCTGGACCTCAGCTCTTCCTCCAGAGCTCCAGCCCCTCAGGCCCAGGGCTTGTCACCCCAAGCAGTGGTGACAGGATCAAGCCTGGGGCTTGGGAAGACATCAGAGCACTTTTGAATGGAGGAGGCTAGGGTCACATTGACTCCATGGGAGAACTTCTGTTACACCCACACAACACTTAAAACACAGTAGAGCAGCACAACCTAAAAGGACTGAAGAGAGAAACAGACAAACTCACAAATCTAGTCTGAGAAGTCAACATTCCTCAACAACCGCAAGAAAAAGTCAACAAAACAAACAAAAAATAACACCAGGAGAGAAAAGTCCCACACTCAGCCAAACTGGCCTCCTTGACACAGAGAACCTTTGCCCACAGCCACAGCCACACGGCCAGTCGAGTGCACACGGCACTTTCACCCAGCTAGACCACACGTTGGGCCCTAAGGTCTCAGAAAGTTGAAAGAATTTGGAACCACATAAAGTATGCTCTCTGACCACAAGAGAACTAAATTAAACATCAATTAACAAAAAAGATATCCAGAAAACCCACAAATATTTGGAAGTTAAGCAACGCACTTATAAATGACCCAAGGGTCAAAGAAGTAATCAGAAGGAAAACTGGAAAATATTTTGAACTCAAGGATAATAAAGACACAACCTATCTAAAGCAGTGTTAGAGGGCTGGGGCTCAGCGGTAGAGCTCTTGCTCACATGAGTGAGGCCCTGGGTTCATCCTCAGCACTACATAGAAATAAATAAATAAAAAGCAGTGTTAGAGGGAAATATACAACTATAAGTGCTTGCATTAGGAAACAAAGAAAGGCTTAAAATCATATTTTAAAGTGAGGGAATCAGAAAAGAAACACAAACACAAAAAACAAAACCCTGCAAATTGAAGTTGAAAGTAAGTAGATGAAAGGAATTAGGAATATTAATAGTGAAAACCAAGAAATACAAAAAGTAATTCTATCTGGTATTTAAGTCAGATTTCATATAAAGATTTGGATTTCTGGCCACAGGCTGACCCATGCACCCCAGTTCATTTAGGGTCCCCTGTCCCCCTCTGTGACACACCAAACATAAGGCACTCCCTCAGGCCCCTGCAGGAGTCCTCCTGGGAGAGGCCCCTGCAGAGCGGCCAAGGTGGGGAGGAGGAGGAGAAGCTGAGTGAGAGCCATTTACACAGAGCCTTCAAGACGTGGATGTAGGGCAAGAGTGGCAAGCTGCCTTGGCCTCGGGTTTCAGGTTTGGGTGACTGATAGGACTGCCTTCAGCTGCTGCGGACAAGGAAGTGCTGCAGGGGAAGCTCTGGGGAGGGGAGACAAAGTTCTCTTTTGGACAAAGTTGATCTTGAGGCATCTCAGACAGGAGCGATGGAGATTTTGAGTGGCACTTCCAAACAGGGGTCTAGAGTCCAAGGGAGAAGAATGGAGTCAGCACAGCTTTGCACAGCACCAGCATCCAGGTGGTGGGCAAAACCCTGGGCGGACACAGAGGCAGGCTCAGCCTGCTGTGAGCCATAGACTCTTGGAGAAGAGAATGGCAGGTACTTATAACTGGGGTCAGAGTATTAGGGACACTGACCAACCAGAGCTTCTGAGGGGCCATCCCTGGACCTCATGAGTCAAACTTGTGAGGCAGATGGAAGAGACCACCAAAGCCATTCTCCAAACTTGCCTGATATGAAGAAGTACCTGGAACATGCATCAGAAATAGATTCCCCTCTGATCTAGTCATTTGGAACTTGCAGGGAGGGTCCTGGAGAGTTTGTTAATAAACCTTCCAAGAAAAGTTGGGGGACTTTGCTTTGAGGAACAGATGGAGAAGAAGAAGCAAAGACTGGAATGTTGGGAGCTGTCACATGGGAACTGAGCACCCCTTAGCCCTGAGCAATGAGAATGTGGCGCTGTGGCAAGCCAGCCGCGGGCTGTGTGTGTGTGAACTATGGGCATTGAGCGCACAGGGTGAACTGAACCAACGCTGCCCCTCTTTTTGGGGGGGCCTCGCTGTGGCCTTTTCGCTTGCTCTGCCAAGATCTCCACACCGCTCATGAGATGGGCGTGGCCTCCCTAGATGTCAATCTGCTGACAGCAGACATCACCAAGCTAGACTCCACCACTGAAACCTGACCCCTTGCCTCATTTGAATGGCTTCTCCCCATTAAAAGGGTTCAGCTCAGCTCCTCTCACTCTTTCCACGGACCCTTAAGGTGAGAGGAGCCGTCACAGAACCCAAATAAAAAGGTATTTCTCTGTCTCTGTGTGATTATTTCGTGCAGCCCACTTCCCCTGGAGTGACCCTGCATGTTTTAGTTGCGGAACTGCAGAAGAATCAGAGAGGGTAAAAGAGAAGGGGACATTCCTGGAAAGGGGGTGGAGCATGGTCAGATGCTTGGAGCTCAGATGGGAAAGGAAGCCAGCATATTTGGCAATGAGGTCATCCTGGGTGACCTTCAATGGAGCCCATCTGTAGGGCCAGACAGCCACGGGAAAAGGAGGATGGGCAGATGGTGG